CTATTCAACGTTCAGTCACACGAAATCATTGAGACCCGTGCAAAAATATTCGTGTCTTCTCTCAAATCATCTCGAGAAGAAACCTCGGCAATTGACAGTATGTGCCCAGGGGTGGGTCACTAGCTGTCACCATGTCTGTATCGGTACATAACTCATGGGAGAAGTGGTTTCTCGAAATGGTCTTAATGGTATCTCGGAAAGGATGTGCCAATGGAAGCATTTGACCCCCAAAAATCAAAATTACACTCAAACCTTTTCTGCTACAGCGGATCATAAAAAGAGTGACAGTACCTGCCCCAATTTGGGGAAATTACTGTCAATAAATCTGTGGATGTACGCTGCTGCTACACCACTGAAAGTTTTGCCACTCCCATTTTGCAATCAAATAAAGATGTAAAGAGGTTGCGATTTCACAAATTAGATGACTGAAAAACTGAAGGGGCTGCTATTGCCAGCTCATTGACAGTATGTGCCCCTGACAGCTGGTGTCCCACTCTCCCTTACCGTAATGAGCATTTCTTAATGCGCAATGCGAAAGCGAAAGCACGTTAACTCAGAAGAAAGTACACTGTTCATAAGTTTGTTGGCCGTACCTGAACCTTGGGCCACCACGGCGGCCAGGCAATAAGTTCCAAATACAAGCACTAGTGCCATGATGATGGTGACGCTGTGCGACATGGTCTGCGCTGGGGCCCCAGGCTGAGGTGTGACAGACGCGCCCGATATCACCCCGATAACTCGGACTATCGCGTCCTCCCGCCACCTGGACACCATACTGTTCCTGAGTTTGGCACCCCTGTCGGGAAACCTTGCACTTGATGCTATCCCTGGGACTATGGACTAGCTATATGTACGCCAGGCCACGTCTCGCGTAACAGGCTCGCAATATCCCACAAACACTATCCCGCTGCGACGCGACGCGCCTGGCGCACACAACAAAGCTAGGCCTGCGGCGCTGAAACCGATGCAAGTTAGTGGAGAACTTCAGGAATGGGGCCGTACGGCATCAAAACGACCCTGAGATTCCGAGATCGCTATCTCAATGGAGGACCCAAGCGTAAAGAAAAACAGAAGGAAGATGGCCGCCGCGGCGGATGGTGGGTGGTGGGGGCAGGAACATAACAAGACCTCATTTGTTTACCCAGCGAGCAATGATCAATTAATTTTCGTCAATTTGACGTCATTTTGACGTCACTTTACGTCATTTTGAGGTCATTTTGATTGATGATTGCTCGCTGGGTTAGCAGACGACTTTCGAAAAACCGCCTAGGAGACGTATTTCACGCGCCTGATTGCTCTTTGACACATCGGAACGTCGTTTAACACATTTTATTATTACAAGTCGTGTCTAACTACCGTGCCGACGGGTAAATTATATCACTTTTACGTGATTTAACAGTTAAACAAGCAGGCCCGCCCTTCCGCCAAACGAACTTGCCAGCTCCGCTTCGCTCCGCCGGCAACTCCGTTCGGCAGGGGCCGGGCCTGCTTAGCCTGCCGGCGGCGATGGTCGGGCCGGCCTGCGGCCCGACCATTTCCTTCACGCGATTTGCTGAAGAACATGATCGAATGATGTAGCGGGCCTACGGCCCGCTTAAACCCGTCGTCTTTGAGTTTGCCCCAAAGACTCGAGAAAGGGATGTGACGGTGAAGCACCGCGACTACAACCCACCCTTCTGCTTAGAAAACGTTTTTGGGGGGTGGGGGGAGAGTTTCCTTTCTATTTTGCGGTTTTTAGGCCCATTTCTACAACTTGTTGTTCACTATGGCAATTTTTAGCTTATTTTCGTCAAGAAAGACCCTCTAGCGCCTAAACGATTAGAGATAGAGCGAAACGGACGAAATTTTCGTCCAAGGGACTCTACTTTGAATAGTTACCCCTTAGGGGAAAATAATAAAAAAAAAACTTTTTGGGAGAATTTTTGAACCTTGGATACCCCCATTCACACCCTTAGGAGTGGTTGCCGGGATTTGCCGTAGGCGTTTCGTTTACTAGGAGTGGACCTTAAGATACCCTGAAAATTTCAAGTCTCTAGCACATCTCCTTCTAGTGGAACAGAGAGACAGACACACAGAGAGACAGACAGACAGACAGACACACGAGGTCGTTTGCATAAGCCCGCTGGATAGCTTTTTCAAAGCAGAAGGGCGGTCTAAAAAGTGGGTTTCAAGGTAATTAAGTGCTGTTTTGTGGCGTAAAGAACGGTTAGGATGTGTTTCTACACAAGCGGTCCAGGCTACGGCGGCCCGGCCGGCCGGCTCGATGACGTTACGCGGGCGGCTCCTGTATTGACTGTGCGATCCACTAACCAAAGTTAAATTTAATTCGTTGTGGTTTTCTTCTTAACAAGCAAAAGTTCTGGTTTAAAATTTTATTTTTCAAGTTTTAGTAAATAACTTGGTAGAGACAACAGACAGACTAAACAGCTAAACAAACTCGGATTCTGATGAAGTGCTTTCTGATTCGAATGTTTGCAAACATAGGGCCTTCGTCTTCTGTAACTCTTGACACCGGTCTGGAAGAATTCCTACATATAGCGCAACTATCGTTATTTGACGGAATTCCTGCACCTTAGTCAATTTTTGCTATTTGTCAGAAATCTATTTAGTTCATCACTGCAGTGCCAATCTTTGTTTTGTAATTGACACAGTTTGGTGACGTGACATCGTGTGACAAAATTTGTCATCTGGAAGCCGCTTGCAAAATCCACGAAGAAGAATGTGACCCTTCTTGCCACAGCGGAAGCAATGCATCGTTGGCGCTTGGGGACTCTTGACTGTTGCAGCAGGTTCAGAAGGCTCCTTCACAGGGACGTTGACTGCATTGGCATCAGCCACACACATGATCTCCACCGATTGGTGAAGGCTGTCGATACAAGGTCTACTGGATTCCACCCCATGGATGATAGCAAGAGACCCTTCCAGCGAGACATTAGGATCAGCGTATAACTTCTCCTGAATGGTCCGACTTCGAACGCCCCTCTTCAGCTGGTATGTTACCAGGAGCGTGGCCTGCTGAACATCAAACCCGAGGTTTTCTGACAAACGCACGAGTTCAGCAGCGTATGCGGCCCCGACTGCCCCTCCTTCTGGAAACTAGTGACAAATGAGTTGAACTCCACATCACGATTCACGGAGGGCTGGATCTTCTCCCTGAGAATTTCAAGCATTCGATTGTACGGACACTCGGTGAGAGATAAGGGATCAACCCATCGGCGGAGCTTCCATTTCGTTTCGTCGAAAAGGCACTGGCAAAGGATGTCCCTCATTAGCTTCTCCGAGGTGATGGCTTTGGCTTCCATAAGCAAGGTTAATTCTTCAAGAAATTTGGCCAGCCGCTCCGGTTCTGACAGCCGAAACATCAAGGCGGGCCTGTCTGCTATGGTGTCCGGATGCGTATTTACTCACAGCTGATTCCAATGGGAGCCGGTGGCCGAATGAAGGTTACGGCACGCCGGCCAGAGAAACCGAAAAGCAGCCACAGCACGATCTTCAGAGTTCTTCTAGAATACTACTTCCTGGTCGCCAGTGTTGTATTCTCAGGGTGGATTGAAGTAGTCGTGCTGGGATAACTCAGGTTTATTGGAGACTTCGAGCAGGAGTGACATGATGAAGCGCGTGGAGAGCACAGGTTAAACTTGAGCAGTAACTATTTGCAGAAAGCGAGCATTGTAGGTAGGAATACACAGAGCGCTAGTAGTGCAAACAGGGTAAAGCGTTATGCGCAGAAAAGAAGTAAGAACAGGGACATAGCATCATTATAATAATATATAACATACATACATATACACTGCCGCTCGAAATTAGCGGCGCACTTTTTTGAACCGGCGTATTTTTGGCTGAGCGTTAGCGAAGCCTTTGCTGTCATGAGGTGCAGGGAACTCTTTGGTTGTGTGTCTGTCTGTCTGTCT